GCAACCACCAAAGGATGGAACCGCAACGACGAGGAAAGGGCAACGACCCAAGCGGAGAACCCCGCTGACAAAGACAGACCAACGATCGAAGGATGCCACCGCGCTGATGAAGACAGAGCAACAACCGAAAAATGGAACTCTGACGGAGGCGACGACGACACAGCAACAACCAGAAGATGGAATTCCAGTGACAAAGACACAGCAACGACCGGAAGGTAAAGCCACGACGACGCGGGCAAAACAACAACCGAAAAATGATACCGCGGCGTCGAAGGGTGGACAACGGTCGAAGGATGGAACGCCGGCGATGAAGAAAAGGCAGGAACCGAAACGAGCAGCTGCGATTGAAGGTTTTTTTTTTGTGAAATTTTAAATTTCTAAACAGTAGATTCATCCTTTCGACTTTAGCTACCAACTGAAAATGATTTTTTTCGTTTTTTCTCGAATTTTATAAATTTTCTGTAATAATTTTGTCCAGCCACAGTTCACTGTCCTTGATTCATCAACTATACAGCTGACAACTTTTCCAGATACTTTGACCATTGCTGCACTGCCTAGTGGTCTACTAACTCGAAAACTTGCCGAAAAACAATGACTATAATTTTGTCAGCATGTTTGTTGCCTATATGGGAAATCATATACCTAAAATGAGTACCGATTCATACTTGCGCCACGATTTAGGGCACTCTAAAGATATTCTTTTGACGAACTTGACGTTCGTTTCGCCGACTAATAGGATCACTGGCTCAACTGAGCCTATTTCAAATTAATATGCAAAAAAACCCAGTCTGCTGGTAACTTATTATCAGTGATGTCATGAACACTGATGAAATGTCGATCTCAACTATTAGAATGAATAAACTGTTGTCGGGACAGTTGACTGATTGCCACGATAGCTCCGAATATTTTATGCACTTCCGTCTACAGACCCAGACAGCCTCAAATAATCAGAGGATATCCAAATCTTCTGTGTGTATATGTAATTCTCTTCATGGCTTAAAAAGTATATAATTTAATAGACCGAAACATCCTTACCCTAGCTGATGCTACTTATATACAGTGCATACGTGAACATATATATTTGCACAAATAGTTATGATTTCCTAAAATCTATATTTATAATGCTATTTTTCGCATGCATTTTCTCTTTCGTTTATTTACTTTTATAAACTTATTCTAAAAAAAAAACAGTTGAATTTATTTTAAGGAATTCCAACAGGAGGAATCGAAGCTGGCCCTACAAAAGAAATTGGAACTAGCCTTCATAAGACAACAACGGGCGCGACTCGCAGTAAAATTGCTAAAGTTAGATTTTACAAGTATCGTACTTCTGAAAAAAGAAAACTGCATTTGTGAGTGACTCCTAACAGACAAAAGGGGGACTTTGCAAGCTCTGAAATGGTGACTGTTAAAGCGCTATTCTTCCGGTCAAACTTCGGATGAAATTTGTCGTGAAAAACTGCAATGTAAGGTGCCCGCTAGCTCAGAAGCTGGAAAAAAGACAAACGGATTATGAATTCATAAATAAATGAGCTGATTTTTATTTTTTCGAGTAAGCGCCAGAAAAAAACAAAACGAATGGATAACAAACAAAAATGCGGAAAAATAACGAATCGGCGAGGTACAAAAAACCGATTTCGATCCTTATTTAAGGATCAGAGGGAAGGATCTGTTCCTAGAAGATAGTAATTTTGTGACTCTTCCTCAGTGACTCACGAAGTCAGGGGTACTGGCGGTGAAGGTAGTTACGACGGATTTTTGGAGAAATAAAACCGGAAAGGGAATACAGGTGTTGCTGTGCTGTGCTTCCGGCATTAGGTTCGCTACATCTACAAAGATACAACCGTCCTGGATTCTCTCTTAAATTTCGGGAACATAACCCATGACTCGCGAGAACAGAAATTTGAAATTGAAGCGTATCTCTTTCTGTTCCGTCACACATTGCTGTGTTTACAGCCAAGGGATGAAACACAGACTACATCGTAAAATATCCTCCGGCACATAACACTTAAGACCAATCCTTCCATTCTACTATTTCAGAACAAATTTCGGTAAATCAAATTTTCGGATTTTAAGAAAACTAAACTCCAGACTTTCTGTTCTAGGGTTTCAGGTCTTTGTCTTAGAATTTGGGGGGTGCCGGGGAAGAGGGCTGTATAATAACTGGTTTAAATAGCTCTTTGAAGGAATCTGTTCAGCGAATCAGTTTTTTTACCAACTTTCATAAGTTTCAGATTAAGCTTGACATGTAGCCTTGTGTCGCCTTAGCATCGAGACAGCTAGATCTATGGCGATGGTACGCGCTTAAAGAAAGTGAAATCGTTAACAGAAATTTTAGCGAAATATTTCACTACTGAGGAAATACAAGGCGACTAAAGCTTTTTTTAAAGAAAACTGAAAAATCGGATGAACTGGAAGTTGGCCAAATTGTCGCGAATGACAGTGAAGTTTCCGCGGAAGATGAGAATCCAAAAAAACGAACGACGACGTGGAAAAAACCCGGAAGACCCCCAAAGAAGCCGAAGAAAAAAGCAAAGAGAAACTGAAAGCTTGTCGGTGACGGTTACAGGAGTTTTCGCGAAAATGGCTATTTTACTGAAAAAGATAACCTACTGAAAAAAATTTTTTATGAATTCTACTTTTCGATTTTTGGAAAAATAAAAATTCCAAAGGTTCCACAGCATGGCTGTTCGGGAACGATGCTGCTATCATTGCGCAGTGTATGAAAACAGAAAGTCTTATGCGTTTTTGCATATACGCAAATTGCAAAAGCGCATATTGCAACAACCCTGTCTGCACGTGTATGTTTGTGTGTGTATGTATGCGTGTGTTCGTCTGTCCGGATATTCCAACTCGGCAACCAAGCAAGCTTCGACGTCAAAATTTTGCCAGGTGTTTCTTCCTGAGCTTCAAGGGCCAGTACCTCACTACAGCACGAAATACTGCAAAAACGCATGACTGCATCGGCCTGTCTGGTGCGTGTCGCCAATGATTTTTTAACAAGCATTTTTTATTTTTTGCAAAAATTCAAACAAAAAAGGAAAACAAAAAACTGAATGTACCAGAGAATCGATTGAAACAGCACCGAGACCATCATCATTAATACCGGTAACAATAACAATAATGCAAATTTTTCCAAAAACAATAACAAAGTACTAAAAAAATCGCTTTTTTTCGACCGACTTCATCCGATCACCGGTAGCAGACTTGGAAATATGATTCTGCAGAATGCTGAAAATGCCTCGGACGATTTTTGATGCGTTGCTTCGATACGGAATCCGGTTCACTTGAATTTTCCATGAATCATGAATCTGAGACCAATTTATGGAATCTTGATTTTTTCTTTGCTATTATACTTCGCAATTTTTTACTTTTTTA